CGTTATCTAGTCTCAAACAATGATACATTTTTTACTATGTTAATGTGTTAAAATAAACTTTTATTTCCAACTAAACAAACATTGTAGATCCAAAAATACTCACGCCTAAGAAGTTAACTAATAAGATGATAAATGGCTTTTCAAATGTCATTTGAGTTGTCAAAAGAATGTTTAAACTCTTTGAATTGATCATTCTGATCATTAAGAATATCATTCTGATCAATTCAGAGAGTTTCTTTAACTTCTACGATGATAAGTGTTCCAGAAACCGGGCGTCAGACAATAGAAAAACAATATGTTCATCACACAGTATTCTTCCAATAGTGGGTATTGAATCCATGTTGGTTTAGACGTAATATTCAGGTTTTCTATTAACCAGGGTCTTCATTAATATTTAATAAAGTATTCCACTTTACTTTACCTAAAGCGGTCTGCTCAAGTCTAATCATTTCAATAATTTCAAGCCCTTTAAATGATTACATTTAATATTGCTATTACATGCACTAAAAACCGAAAATGAGGTTAGGGATTTTGATTTAGGTAGTTAAAAATAATCTATTCACTCTGTTGAAACTCTGTAAAATTACAAATTACTTTCGAAACTTTCAACGTCTAATTATATCAATTTGGGTACGAGGTTGCACGATCAAAGGGCTGACATCATAAACGTTTCATTTCAGAATTCGGTAAATTTGTTGGTGTCACTTACTATATTAGGATTTTGCCTAGTTAAAATTTTCAAAGAGAGTGAATATCTAAGCAATTGGACAAGTTTGTAAGAGAAGAAGGTTTCTGTGATTTTTAGGGTTCCGTACCCAAGGGGTGTCAGTTTGTCTGTCTGTCTGTTTGACTGTCACCTAATTAATACGTAATTTTCAAAGTTTATGTATTTCTGTTGCCGCTATAACAGCAAATGCTAAAAACGAAACAAAAATATTTAAGTACTCCCACACAAAAGACATGCCATTTTTTGCCATTATTGTAGATAATGGTACAGACCCATCATAAATTTTTATTGCAATTAGGATTGCCATTTGGCCGTTTTTTTTTTTAAATCTATGTTATTGCAATGACCTCTCATTGACCTTAAATATTTACGCCCGGTTTCTGAAACACTGATCATCGTAGATGTCAACTTAGCAGCTGTCAAATGGCTTTTCAAATTTCATTTTAGTTGCCAAAAGGATGGTTTAACTCTTTTAATAATAATAAAATATATTTATTCACATAGACGCTTGCGCGTACTAAAAAGTATTGTTTGAAATAACCACCGAGGTTCTCCTAGAACTGAATTGACTTCAATTGTGTCCATAATTTATCTGTCCGTTGTTGGTTTGTTTTAACTCAAAAATGAATTTGTTTCTTAGGTCAGCTTCTGGTATATAAACTTACCGAAATTTATTGAATTTAAGCCAGCTTAATCACACGTTATGTAAAAAACTCACACGACACGGTGTCAAAAAAGCTAGCAGCATTTCTTCACTGACTGGTTATATTTAATAATTGAACGAAAAAACCCTCTTATCATCAGCTGCCGATTCAGCGAGATATTTCTTTCAGAAATGTTGATGGGTATGACCCCACGGGACTAAAGTTTCTACAGGAAATGGCAAAAATACATTATTTACGGAAAGAGACTTATGTTGATTCTCGTCGTTAGATTTTTTATAACGTCAGAAGAAGCGAGATGGCGGTTAACCGTTAACCGTTAGATGTTAATGTTAAATGGAGGTAAAAAACTCTCATATAGATGGTGGCATACATTTTGTTAAAACATTTTTCTGATGTAAAGTGATACCCGTTGCACATTGACATTTGTTGCCACCTTTTAATAAAGTGGGCCCCGGCTACCTCACTCACCATACAGAACGCGGAAGTATAACATTTCCACTTCACGCCGGTCTTTTGTGAGGTGGTGGTACTTACCCGGACGGCTGTCCATTCGTGCAACAGCGAAGATTGTCGCGTGGCCCTGCCGCGGTTGTTAAAACACTAATACGCAATCCATGCAAGCGGAGCCGCGGGTGTAGGTAGTCGAACATAAATCTAAAAACACAGTTTTCGTTACAACCTCAGGGACGAATCGGTCGCGAGCGTTTAAGAGACAAATAATCAAGTCGTACAAAGTTCGTTATCGAGAAAAGGATCAATAATGAAGACTGTGAAGTTGCGATAACGCCGAATTAGTCGAAGCGAATGAAACCTTTAAAAAGAAAACGTTCAAAACTTCGAAATTAATTCTCTTTGTCCCTCAAGTTTTTAAGATTAATCAGAGTACTCAAGAGAGTCTATAATATTTTAGGAACGAAGTGCCTTTACGCGGCTTGCGGGTAGATATCGCCACGTAACGGAAGAGCAAAACCGGTCTTCTGTCTCTTTTTAACACATACTATATGAGCAAACGTGAGGCAGAATCCGCCTAGGTTCGTTTTATTTGGTATTTTATTTATAAATCACTTAAGTCTAGTTTAAAATAAATATTACTAGTGGACACTGAGTGTTCGAAATTCGACCATAATTAATTTAAATTATAAGTTAAACAAATAAATCTATTCTCAAATACAATACACAATAAACAAAAGAGTATATATGCGTGTGTGTCACATATATGGTAGTATATCTAATGTTTTGTAGGTATATTGATTTAATACATATTGTTATATAGATGACTAGATATTACATATATGACTAGATATTATGAATAGATATTATATGGAATCTATAGTATAGATGACGCATGTCCATTTTTTTTTATGTGAAAAGTTGCCAAACGAGCTGACGGTTCACATGATGGTAAGTGAATACCGCCGCCCATGGATATCTGTTACACCCGAGGATAACAGATGTGTTGACAACCTTTTGAAAATTGGGCCCCGGCTACCTCACTCACCAGACGAAACGCGAAAGTATTTGTCATACTCCACTTTACGCTGGTCTTCTGTGAGGTCGTGGTACCTACCCGGACGGGCCTGCCCATTCGTGCAACAGCCGAGGTTGCTGCGTGGCCCTTCCACCGTAATACTCCATACTGCGCGGCGTTTGCGGTTCCGTACCCAAAGAATCCGTGTCCGTCTGTCAGTTTAAATTTTCACAAATGATGAATTTCCGTTGCCGCTATAACGACAAATACAGAAAAAACAGAATAAAAAATATTTAAGTGGGGCTCCCATACAACAGACATGATTCTTTTGCCGTTTTTATAGATAATCCGACTCGCACTTGGACAGTTTTTTCCATACGCGCCAAAAGAAGTATAACTTGAAAAGTATAACTTCAAAAATCTCCAGCGCTCTTCTATATCTTTGGGTATCTTTACATAAATTTTCCATGATTAGTCGGATATTCCTGCGTTGTGGAGATAAAACAATTGTTCGTTGTTATATGTAAATTTTTGGCGTCAGCCGTTCTGAATTTCAATATTAAACATTCTCCTTTAGGTGAATGTCGCGTTGAAAACATGTACGTATTACACGAGTATTTGTGTTACTTTCAGATAATCATTCTTAATACGGGGTGTTAAATGTGAGGGTCGGTGTGAAATTCATTCAATCATCGGCTTATAGCTTTGTTAGAAATAGAAGTACAGACGGTACCATAGAGTGACATACTGTAACAGCATGTTACTCTTCGGTAACAGTTACACAAATTGCCACAACATAGTATGAAATAACTGGTTGTTATTTTGTAACAGGTATTCGTCACTGTTACTGTTAAGTAACAGGCGTAAAAGGTACTCGATTTAGCCTAGTATAACTCACTCCTAATAACAACTCAGGCCTGCCTCCATTCCGCTCGGCAGTAACGCGTCGTTGTTTACAAGGGTCGGCCTAAATCTGGACTTTGTCCAGTCGCTTTCAACATTTCTATTTCCGTACCAAAACAATAATAATCCGGGCGTGGCACGTACCGATCGCTTCGCCCAGCCATTGTGCATTCGGAGCATTTCAACCGCCTTCATGCAAGTTTAACATTTTCGTTTTAAATTATTTTTGCAATGGCTTCAGTGGTTCCATAACAATTTTATTGGTGTATATATATATATATAGCCAAAAACCATTGTTATTTTATAACAATCCACATGATGTGCCGACGCCATTTAGGTGGGATAAGGGCAGGAGAAAGAATAAGAATGAGAGCCCCATAAAATTAAGGTGTCGTCGAGCATTGGCAGGGCCTTAACATCAGATTCTAGGCCACCATCTAGATGCGCTTATCAAATTAGTAAAAAGCTCCACACGGCAGCTATCTAATGTTGCACTAATGTTTTGACTCGTCCCAGTAAGGCCCTACACAAGACTGGCGTGATATGGAAGTATTATACTTTCGTTTTTTATTCTTAGTCTTGGCGCCATCAAGTGTGCTTTCTTTATATTATCGAACACACGTTAACAAAAGACTATTTTTTAACGTTTTTTTGGAAACTAGAGAACATCCCTAGATTTTCCTTCAAAGAAAATTAAAAATTCAATGATGGAGGAAGGATATTAAATGCAGTCCGATCCGTAGGTCGTTAAAAAACAACGACAAAACAAGATTAATAATTTTTTACAGTGAAATAGCGTCTAAATCTAAAGCGTTGGCCGGCCCGTGACCATAAATGCTGAAAAGTAGTTGAGAGGTCGTGATATTTAAAATAAATAAAGTGTTGCAAATGTCAATGGGTCTTAACATCCAGTGAAAAAATGATAACTGTTCTCAACGCCATTAATCAAGTGTTCGTTTCATTTGCACGGAACTTGGATTAGAACGATGCGATTGTTAGATGATGAACAAGTTAGATAGTTCACACATCAAATGTTTTCATGTCGTGATTTATTGAACGCTTAAATTGAGAACGCAATATGATGCTCGTTTGCCACCTTCAAATATAAAAAAATATAAAAAATCACATTTTGATATTGTGAGTGCAGTGACTGGCACTATAACTTAATATTAATCCCAGACTTTACAGACCATTCATTAACCAAGAATCGAGAGGTATATCGTGAGGATTGTTCCAGGATGGCCGCCTGCGCAGCGGTGACATGCTGCTGCGGATTGGAGCCGTGTCGGTGGTTGGCATGTGTGCCCGCCAAGCGGCTGCTGTGCTGAGACAGTGCGGGGCCTGCGTGCGCCTCCTGGTTGCCAGACCGGCTGCCAACTTGCCGCCTTCCATGCAGGTCAGTGACGGTGTCTATGTACGCTTAGATCTTTAAAACTACGCGACGGATCTTGATGCGGTTTTTTTACTAGATAGAGCGATTCAAGAGAAAGGTTTATGATGTATAACACATTGCAACGTGCGAGTCGATTATTTCAAAATGCTTGATACATTGTTAACATAGTAAAACACATACAATTAACTCACATCCGATCATAGTAATCGTTTGCAGATAACGTTATAGTCCTCATGTATCTGCAATCGGTAGAGGAGACTATAATCACGCTTGTATTAATTAACAGAGGAGTCACAAACAGAAATGAGTGTTTTTGTATTAATGTATTTTCTTTTTCCTTTCCCCAAATATTAATAGGCCTCCCGAAGCAATACACTGATATTGACTCGGGAGAGAAGGTTGTTTGTATAATAACTGCTAGACGTAGGTGAATTCATTAAGAAAGTATTTTAATTACAAATGACAACCGTGTCATAAACTAATTGTTCGGTAAACAATCTAAGCGCTGTATTAATTTCAACATTGCGAGGACTACATAACGTCAAACGCTTAGGTTAATTTCGCTTATAACTCCTACCATATCGTATCTTTTTCAGTTTTCAAACGAGAAAATAATTCACCCAGTAGGGCGTTTTAAAATTGAATTATCCCCGCATGCGACCTAAAAATAAAAGCGTTTGGAATTGAGCCGCTCCCACTTCCGCCGGAAACGGTCTCGGTGAGCGATAGGCGGCCGGTTGCAATCCATCATAACTGACAGCCATCGGCCGTGTAGGCCTCGTAGACGCTACGAACACGTAGAGCTGTAGCAAGCTGTGAAGTTATGTGAAGATATTATCTACGTAACATTTGTGTGTAGTTGGAATGTATAAGTTTATAATACATATTATAATTCAATCAGCTTATTATTATTTTTTTTTAAGTTTTTTAATGTGCTAATCTCTGCACTTAAGATTGAACATTAAAACATGTAGAAAAAGTACGAAAAGATTGTCGCCGCTGTGGGAATCGAACCCACGTCTTCGGCATTCGCGGCCACTCGCTACGCTCTAGCCACTGAGCTAAACGGCTGATAGCCACAGCGACGAAAATCTTAACGCCTTCCTTCTACATTGTTATTTACCATTTGAAGCAATGCTTGGCGCATCTATTGTTATATCGTTTCCAGCATTCAACTTTTATTTACACCAAATGATCCAATGAAATTTTTAATTGCAATTTCCATTAGCAATCCTAGCTTTTTTACATTTTTTAATACTTAGCTTTATAAACTGTAACTTATTTTTTTCGCGTCTAGTTTGAACAATTATGGATAAACCTTGTTATATTAATATATAAATAGATATATAATATATAAATAGATGCGAGTTAACACCAGGTTATCGAATAGCTTATTTCTTCCCATGACTTCACAGTCGTTATCATATAAGGGGGAGCATTGGACACGTTCAAGTTCACAAATTATCTGCGCTAAAATCAGTAAAGTAGAGATCAAAAGCTCTTCTTACTGGTTAGTAAAACCCCTTTACTTTATTATGACAACTGATTCTTATGATGATGGTAATGTTTACATATTACTACATAGTATATAATATACTTACACTGCATAATGTCCCAAGAGCTTTTAATCTATAGCTTATTCATTTTTAGAATTTCTAGTTGTTTTATAGTTGTTCTGGTTTAAGTTTGTGTTTTAACTTGTGAGTTAAGGGCGTATTTATCACGAGGGATAAGATTTTATTGTAAAAACAAGCCTTAGATGAAAGTATTTTGAGGGTTCCGTACCAAAAGGGTGAAACAGAACCCTATTAGTAAGACTCTGCTGTTTGTCTGTCTGTCTGAATGTCTGTCCGTCTGTCATAAGGCTGTATCTCATGAACCGTGATAGTTAGACAGTTGAAATTTTCACAGATAATGCATTTCTGTTGATGCTATAACAACAAATACAAAAAAACAGAATAAATTTAAGTGGGGCCCCCATATTTGGTTTTAGTTTGTCTGTCTTAAATTTGTGTTCTAACTTGTGAGTTAAGGGAATAATTATAACGAGGGATTAGATTTTATTGTAAAAAAACAAGCCTAAGACGTAGCCTTTGTATCGTATTAAAGGAATATAAGTTAGACACTATTTTCTTCTATCTGACAATCCGAAAAACGGAAACATATAAGCGAATAAACTCAAATTTAATCATCTACACTCTCCTGCTGGCAGTAAGACGTTAATAAAACGATCATGCCATAATAACTCAAGTTAACACCCCCCCGACACTTACATATTCCACCACTATACATACAATTAATAATACTTGAAATGGAACGCTTTTTAATTTAGTATTATTTTAAATTCTTTCTATACTTTTCCTTTAACACTAATTTCAATTCCTTTCAAAGAGATTTTCTATATTTTCTCCGACAAAGCCCTATCCATTATGACCGGCCTTGCGGGATGGTAAATAATAAATCTGTAACAAGGAAAAGTAAATATTATCTGTTGTTGGAACAATCACTAAGATCCACCGACATTTTTCAAGATAACTCAGCTTGTGTCGTTATTATTTAAACCTTTACCGTCGTTGATTATTCATTCGAATACTACATATTATTTATGTGAAAAGTTGACAAGCGAGCAGGCGTTTCACGTGATGTTAAGTTGTATCGTGAAGTTATCACTAAACATTAAGTGAACTGTTAGCTCTTTTGCCATCTTCTCGCAAAAAAAAGATATTCAAACACCTAGACGCTAGATAAAACTATGTTTATCACATAGTATAAGAGTTCTAATGTTTTTACCTTGATTCTAATATTTTAACTATTACTGAACTTGAATATTAACAACTATTATAACGACAAGCAGCACTAGTGGTTATATCACCGTCTGGGAACGCGGCCGAAATCCAAGTGACCACTGCTCCATGCGACCATGTGTCCCTTGGCTCGAGTACATAATGTTATATCCGGTATACAGCGTTGCCAGCGCCAACAATAGTTAATGTTTAATAGTAGTAGGGATCAATCCCACACTCTGGCGTAAGAAATATATCCACTACCCTCTCTCTACGCCAGTTTGATCATCAATACTTTTATTGTCTATAACAGTAATTTTACAACTTTTGATATTTTCCCACAAAACTTTTTCTACAAGTGATAGGATGGAGCAATAAGGCAAGTACTGTTACTTGCCTTATTGCTCAGCTTGTTGACTCATCCTCCAAGAACGCTTTAGTTGTAGAAAGGTTCTCTATAAAGACTATATCACACACTATCTTTTTTAAATACGCTTCTATTGAGAGGGATATAGGAAACTAAGTTACTAGTACTAATCATATTACGTTCGACGTAATCGATATTTCTACTTGCTGACTCTGCCTTAAAAAAAAATCGCAACTATTAAACTATTGATTTTAGCTTCGTGATTTTGGATTTATACAAACTAGCGGTCGTCCAACGGTCGAATTTCGTCCATAATTAATTTTATATTATTAGGTTGAAAAATATTAATCTATTCTCAATTTGACCTCAATTTCTACGCCCTTGGGTGTTGCAGGTGTTCATGGGCGGCGGTAATTACTTACTATCAGGTGAGCGTCCTAAAAAAAAGAAAAGACTACAGACTTTAACAATAAACAAAAGTCAAATACATGGTAGTGCGAAATGATTTTTTCATTGATTTAACGTATTATATAATTATGCATAATTTAAAAAAAAGCATTCAGCACATCTATATACTCGTATAAACTAGAAGTGTGGGAAATTTCATACTTCTCCGTCCACGCAATTTTCGTAAAAAGGGGTACAAAGTTTTTTCTTCACGTATTGATATATTAATGATACCTAATACAAACTTCACAAAAATAAAAAAAAACGTTCCCATTTTTAAAGGTAAGGAACCTAAACACTTTAAATGGGGCACAGTCCTGGATAAGAATTGCCCAAATCTACATTGCCGTGTTACATAAATGTAACACGGGTCTCATTATATTTAGCTAGAGGCATTCTGAATGATTCAGAGGATTCAGCCTTTATACGCGTCTTCAAAGGCATCAGTAAATAGATACAGCGAAAGAAATCCGTGAGAATTTTTAACGATATAACTCGTGGGAGAAAAAAAGAAGAAAAATCTTCATCGTTATCAGAATATTTCGTGTTTTAATGCATTTCAAATAAGAATAGGACTGTCATTGGTCCCGTTTGTGACGTCATAGCTGTCGATTCAAACCAGTTAGGTAGGGTGGCGCCGTAATAGCTCAGTGTCCGGGCGCTTGCCTTTAATTCAATGTACTCGAGCAACCTGAGTTCGATCCCCGGTGCCGGCACCAATAAAAAATAATAACGTGCACAGGAAAACATCGTGAGAAAATCTGGATATTTTCGAAATAATAACAAAAAAATATTTCGAAGAAGTCCTCCAATCCGCAGTGGGGCCGCGTGGTGAACTATGCCCCGATACCTTCTTTACAGAAAAGGCCTTTGCCCAACATTGGGACATTTTTAGACTGATACTTTACTTTAGGTAGAACTAGCGAAAAAGATATATTTTTAACCGACTTAAAAAAAGGAGGAGGTTTCTCAATTCCACCGTGTATATTTTTATTTTTTTTATGTGTGTTCGTGGATAACTTCGTCGTTAATGAACCGATTTTGATGATTCTTTTTTTGTCGGAAAGGAGATATCCCAAGGGTGGTACCATGATAATGAAACTGATGATGGCATCCCTGAGAAATCGAGTGCCATCATTGAATGTTATAGGTGTTAACAATGTTTTTAATTTTCTGATGGAAGTCGGTTTTTTTTTTGTTAAAAATTATACTTGTTTTAAGTGAGAAGAGACGAAACGCAGAAGATAACACTTCCACTTCACGCCGGTCTTTTGTGAGTTAGTGGTACTGCGCCGGACGGACCTGCCCATTCGTGCAACAGCGTAGACTGTTTCGTAGCTCTGCTACAGTCAATATAAATAAATAATATTTATTTACAAATATTTTTATATTCAACTATCGACTCGCCCCAGCTTTATAATGTATTATACATATAAACCTTCCTCTTGAATCATTCTATCTAGAAAAAAAACTACATCAAGACCCGTTGCGTAGTTTCAGAGATCTAAGAGTACATAGGGCAGACAGACGGCGGGACGACTCTGTTTTATACTATGAAAGCTTTTTTTACACGTTCTTTATTTATCGGGCACAGGCTGGAAAAACACCTCAGAATGTTTCAGCGTTTTGAGATTCAAAACATTTTTATTCTACATCTTTAAATGGAGCTCACTTTTTTACTACACTAAGCTTGTTATGTTATGTTATGCTTGTTATGTTATGTTATGTTATGTTATGTTATGTTATGTTATGTTATGTTATGTTATGTTATGTTATGTTATGTTATGTTATGTTATGTTATGTTATGTTATGTTATGTTATGTTATGTTATGTTATGTTATGTTATGCAAATAGTGGACAAGAATTTTAAACTAGTTATTCTTAGAAAATGTTTATGAAATTCATTTAGGTGCATACAAAACATGTGCGTTATTCGAGTTGCATCAACTCATTATTAGCTGAAGATTATATTCACAGAATAATTAAAATATCGAAACATTTGAGGGCATAACAAAATTAAATGCGATGAAATCGATATAAATACCTAACCAACACTTGTGAGTGATTAAAACAATGGTGGTCCTTCATCAGGGTGGGTGTGATTAGTTCGCGGCCGCGCATCTTCTCGCATTACGCGCTAAACTAGTCGGTAAACGCCGGCTTAACGTGAATTTAGCCGTGTTAGTATTTCGTACATATTGGATTCATTTTGTTTTATTGAGCTAAGAAGGTAGTAATATAAAAACTTATCCAAATCACCGTAGTCTTACTTTGTACAACAATAACACTGGTATAGAATCACTAATTTAACGATTTAATTTGTGATATCCATTGGGTAGCACTACCCATGAAATGCTTCGGTGCAGCTTTATTTATACCTCATAGAATGAAAGTCCTTTTAATGTTGCCAACATACATTTCTGGCACTTGCTCCACGGTGAAAATCGAACATTTTACATTGCCCCTCTCGGCCCGGCGTTCGGAGTTCAAACTTCAACGGATTCGAGAAGGTCTCAGTCAAATTAGCGTCCGCTCAAGCTCCGTCCAGCGCAATTACGTCGCAGCCGGAAACACCGCCGTCACATTTCCGGTCGCCGCTGCCAGGGCGGGCGGGATGATCTGACGCGACGCCGACATCCGTTTACCGCCAATCGCGTTATTTGCTTCGTGTTTCCGTCTCCAAACGTGCCTTCGCTTTTGTTTTTTTTTTTCGTCAAATGAATATTATTTTATTTCGGGACGATTGTCTTTTGTAATTTTATGTATAGACTGAATGTATTCAGAATTTAATGAAACAATTCAATTGAATTTGCATCTGGTTGCTTTAACGTAAGGATGTTTTGAAATTTAACAGATGATCGTTATAATAATGAATAAAAAAATCATATTAAAGCATACATATAAAGGCACTAAAATATACCACATTTATTATTAAGACCACTAATTCCTACAAGGATTATCGACTTGTTTCAAAATGTCTTTTTTCGTGCTGTTCCTATTTAATGACCATTATTTTTACTTAATATTACATTTGATGATTTTAATTACGGAACAAAACTATTTCTTATAGTAGTTTAATATAATTTTATATTTTTAATGACTAAAATATTTGTTGATGAAAAGTCAAATAAATTTCCACTTTAACGAAATCCACTGCTATAACTGAAATAACGAGTATTTATTGGTAATAATAATTTTTAATCAACTTTAAATGTACATGTACAATCGCTAAGCTTTCACGACCTCTAACTTTTAATTTATCACGGCCGGTTAAGATATGCCACTCTTGTCACTTTACAACGGGAAAAGATTTAAACGATTACCTATGAAAATCTGATACGTCACTTCGTGGGACGTCTGATCACTAGACCTTCACTGCCCTACTTAATAAATTAACGCCCGGTTCATCAGCTGTCAAATAGCTTTTTAAATGAATGCTGCTGCAAAACAGCTGATTAGTTAACTTTTATCATGATCAGTGTTTAAGAAACCGGGAGTGAGTCCAACATCCTAATCACTACGCGGCCACTGCTGTACCATAAAATTACTGTTTACACGTATTTCATCATGGTTCATAACGTTCTCCCTTCATCAGTCATTGGGCGCGTCCCAAGCGCCGGTGGTGCCCTCTAGGCTCCTGGCGGACCCAATAGAGCTGGAGAGGAGCCTCGCTGACGCGGGACACGATGGCTTCGGGGCGCTTTGCGAGGAGACCACGCCGCCCTCACCACCGCCGACCATCATCGAGGAGAGGCTACACCATCGGGTGGGTTTGGACACAAGAAAACATGTTAACTGCGGTAGGGCCACGCAACGATACCCGTAAGAGTCATGGGAGCTCACTCACTCGGTATTAAATAAATTAAAAAGAAATAGATATTTTTTTTGTAATTAAATACGTAATTATAGACACATAAACACTCACTACAGCTAGTGAACACTGCTCATCACACAAGATTTTTCCCGTAGTGGGGATCGAATTGAACTAAACTAAAATATTAAAACATGTAGAAAAAGTACGAAAAGATTGTATGCTGGAAAGGATATAACAATAGATGCGCCAAACATTGCTTCCAATGCTGAATAACAATGTAGAAAGAAGGCGTTAAGATTTTCTGCTGTGGCTATCAGCCGTTTAGCTCAGTGGCTAGAGCGTCAGGCCGCGAATGCCGAAGACGTGGGTTCGATTCCCACAGCGGTGACAATCTTTTCGTTTCTTTTTTCTATATGTTTTAATGCTCAGTTCAGAGATTCCCAAAAAACACAAGGAAATGTTACTAATTACTTTTTTTAAAACTAAAGTGCTTTCTTTATTTCGTCGTTATGTGAACTGTTGGTGGTCATTCTGATTGCCCCACCAGGAAATATTAAAGATGTGTTTTGTCTACAGCCCGTGGCGTCGATAGTGGCGGTGGTGCCTCGAGGCGCTCTCGCCCCATCGCCAAGACCTCCCCCCCTCATAATCGCGCCCCCGGAGCCCCAGCCACCACCCATGAGGTAAGTGACCGTATAAACTTTTGGGGCTGATGGGCGTTTTTCATGTAATGCTCCTTTTGGTGCGTTAGGGTGAAAATTATGAGTGTGAATTGAGTTTAGTTGACGTTAGATGATAAACATTATTTTAGTACTGTGTCTAACACATGTGTCATCCTTAAAATTAGATATATTTTTTTATTTATCCCAAAGAAGTGTAGCTTCTTATGTACTGTTGCTTGTTATTTAGGTACACACACACACACACACACATTTATATCATACGACTGTTATAGAATCCAATTTAAGGTGGTTAATTCTGCAGCTTCTGTTTTTTTCGTTAATGAGTGTTTTATTTTATTTTAGGAGGTGGCAAGCGAGCTGGCGGTTCACCTGATGTTAAGCGATAACTACCTAAAGACATTTGCAACACCCGTGAGGTTGCAAACGCGTTGCCATATAAATATATAAATATAGTAGGCCCCGGCTACCTCAATCACCAGACGAAACCTAGAAGTGTAACACTGCTTTACGCCGGTCTTCTGCGAGGTCGCGGTACTTACCCGGATGGACCTGCCCATTCCTGCAACAGTGAACACTGTTGCGTAGTCCTACTACACTTAAAACATTTCGTTCATATCGTAATATGAATCTTTGCACGACAGTGCTCAGGCATAACCAAGTTTATTTTAACTAATACAACAAGGAACTAAGTGACAAAGTTTAAACAGGTCAACTGTTTCGCCAATTAACAGAAGAGGCTCCAATGGGTATAGCATAACTTATCGAATTTTTGATTACGTTTTTGAACAGGCGATAGTATCAAGATCGAGCTGAATTCACGGACATAATCCCTCGTTTTGATGTAATAAACGTCCAAACTTTTAGATCCGTTCGAACGGGTTTAGATATGAATTCCATTTCAGTTTATTCACCCGGGCGCTCGCCTTTATTTCAATATACTCGAGCAGCCTGAGTTCGATCCCCGGTGCCGGCACCAATGAAATTGTTGATTTAATTGCTGAATTGTCACATGCTCAGCGGTGAAGGAAAACATCCTAGGAAACCTGGATATTTTTCAAAATAATAGCAAAACAAAATGTTTCGAAGATATGTGTAGTCCTCCAATTCGCAGTGTGGTCGCGTCGTTAACTATGCCCCGTACTATGCCCTGTACAAATGAGGCATTTGCCCAGCAGTGGGACATATATAGCCTGATACTTTTATCCATACGAAGTTATGTTATTTCTATGTAACTTCTATATCATACGCGATATGGGAAAAAGTAAAGGACCCCGAACGAGATATATTTTTGGCAGGCGATCTCAGTCATAATCAGGAAAGTTGGAAGGTCGCTCCATAGATAAGGAGAGGATGGTACCTTGGGTAATATCCCCCGCTCGCCTCCCCCCCACCCGTTGACAGCCAGAGCTCTGATCAAACAAATCACTGCGTGAGTTACTAAAGTTCTATCGTCCGTTGCCAAGTTGTATGAAACTTTTCTCATTAAAGTTGCAAGCACCGCCGTTACAAATGCCAAGTTAGCGATTTTGGCAACGCAACGCGTGAAACTTCTCCGTAAACTTGTGTTTCGTGTGATGTAGAAGAAACGTGTAAAGATACATCGCTACACGGTTACAAATTCTGGTTGACCTAATTTGACCTAATGTTATGTATTGCAGTTCCGACTGTGATAGGGCCCCGCAACAGTTTTCTCTGTGGCAAGAATGGGCAGGTCCATCCGGGTGCCAAGAACGATGTATACTTCTGCATTCCGGTGCCCACTTGAAAGGTGGCAACGCATCTGCAACCCTACGGATGCTGCAAGTGTCCATGGGCGGCGTTTATCACTTAAAAACAGGTGGACCGGCAGCACGCGTGCCACCTTATCACATTAAAAATGTTCGTCTTAGTTGTGGGAGAATAGATGATTCGGGGGCGCAGTTGCTAAACTACTGACGGTGGTGACGAGAGTCGCGTGCTCGATTCCCACACGGGACAAGTATTTCTGTGACCCACAGTTTCGGATCTGGTTGTTTGTTCCCAAGGAAAGTTTACGTCAAGCAGGCGGCCAATCGTGAAAAATCTTGTCAAAACACTTACAACGTGATTCATATGTTGTGCCGACCCCATCTTAGGAATAAGGGCGGGATGATGGTGTCCATGAAAAGATATACGAACGAATAGTCAGTATTTTAACGAAAATCTTATTAATTTAATTTAATAATTATCTTATCCAAACAGTGTGTATTTTATTTATTTAATTATTTATTTAAAAAGGACACCAGCAGTATGTATACAACGTTTAAGTGGTACCATATACACAAAAATTATGATGCATGTACCTGATTATGAGACACAGCATAGTTACAGGTTACAGCATAGTTTTACTGTTGCCACACAAAAGTTAAATGTAAACTGGTCTACCACCAGGCTACCATTGGACATGGCGGTGCGTGGCAGCAGGGAACCGGAGACCCTCAGCTACGAGGTGGAGCTGAGCAAGGACTCCGCTCTCGGCCTTGGCATCACCGTGGCGGGATATGTCTGCGAACAGGGTGAGTGGAATACAAAATCAATCTTTACTGTGGCAGAAGCTGCTGTTGCAGGAATGAGCAGGCTCGTCCGGGTAACTACCACGGCGCGAATTGGAAGTGTTTTCGCTTTTCGTGTGGTGAGTGAGGTAACTGTTATATAGCTGGCCAATGCATCTGCCACCCATCAGGTGCTGTAGACGTATCGAGGCGACAGTAAATGCAAAGTTGACAACTTTTTACATAAAAAAATTATACGGTCGTAGGGCCACGATGCAGCCTCGGTTGTTGCACGAATGGGCAGACTCGTCCGGGTAAGTACCAAGACCTCACAGAAGACCAGCGTAAAGTGGAATTAAAATAATTTCGCGTTTCGCCTGGTGAGTGAGGTGGCCGGCATCTGCAACCCTCGGGTGTGGCAGATGTCCATGGGCGGCGGTATTCACATAACATCAGGTGAACCGTCTGCTCGTTTGGCAACCTTTCACATAAAAAAAAAATCTTATTCATAGCGTTTTAATGGCCATTCATTTTATAATAAAGATTCGAGATTAAATATGGCTTTTACAAGTATTCAGCTACGCGTACGGTATTTATATGTAGCTGCCATTCGAACTTCTTTGATCGAATGGCAATCATATATATGATCTGTTAATTCGGCATGATGGACAAGAATAAAGGTTAATAACTCCATATAACCCTGATTTGTCCAAAAACCAAAAATTCATAGGACAGAAACCATTCCTTATGAAGATAATTCTAGAGCATCATCGTATGTACCAAAACTATCTTGAGGGCACAAATCTCGGCATAGGTTAACTAAACTTTAATTACTTTTAAAACTACCGGCGACGCGCTAACATCCGAGGAATTACAAATAACTTAGTCACTGCTTACTGCCTATTAAGTACCTAATAAGAATATGTTAACTAGGTAAAATTTTTAACTGGAATTTGGCAGACAAAAATTGCAACTTTACTATGTTACTTACCATATCCATAATATCTATACAGATAAATAAAATTGCAGTGTCTGTTTGTAATATTTAATTAAAAGCTTTTTATTATATGCATATGGATCTATACACGGTACATAATACCAAAATAATATCTTTTACAATTTTTGTTTGTCTGTCTGCTTGTTCCCCTAATCTCCGAAACGGTTGCACCGATTTTGACGGAACCTTTACTGGCCGGTAGCTGATGTAATAAGGAGTAATTTAGGCTACTTTTATTTTGGAAATTTCATTCATTGTAAATTCCACGCGGATGAAGTCGTGGGCACAGCTAGTCCTTACTAATATTATAAAGGCGAAAGTTTGTATGTATGGATGCATGATTGTTACTCTTTCACGCAGATACTAATGAATGGATTTTAATGAAACTTTACAATAATGTAGCTTATACATCAGAATAGGACATAGGCTATAATTTATACATATTTTTATGTATATCTGTCTTTCTGTCCGAATGTTACGCGTTCAGCCTATTCTATGCAGACGTAGTTGCGGGCAGCAGCTAGTATACACATATGTGTTTCCATGACTATGTGGTGCAGTTGGTAAGCTATTGGCTTCAGCTCCGAGGGTCCTCAGCTCCCATGGACAAGTATTTACGCGACCCACAAATAATTGTTCCGTATCTGGGTGCGTATTCCCAGGTTGTAAGAGCCTAGCCAATACCTAATAAATTTGTTATTTGGGACTTTTCAATATCGGAGCCGAGCTTAAACTCAATATGCCACTAATGGTTTGCTTATATTATTGTGTAACAATGGTCAATGAATGGAATTCTCGAGGGTTGTTGTGAAGGACCGTTCCCCCTTACCTATACAACACGACCCACTTAACTAATTAACTCTATGGAGAAGTTCCGAGAACAATTGTTGATTACCCACTCTCCTTCTTTCGCCTGCTCTTATCCCATATAGGTAGGGTCGGTGGAATATCAGGATCATGTTGTTAAATATGGATGTTGTTGAATACAATTGTCGTTAATAAAAAAATCACCTGTTCACAATCGGCTGCCTGCTTGCTCCGGCCGCCAAGAAAATATGGACACAAAGCACACACACGCTTTAAATAATTTTATGTATAACGCATTATTATTTCACGTGAGAGCCAATGGGACGTGTTAACTTTAATTATTATATTTACGTCAATTAAACTTGAATTATTACATTTAGCAAATACTGCATGGCTTAAAAGAGCTGTGGTAGGACCACGCAGCAGCTTCCACTGTTGCAAGAATGGGCAGGCTCGTCTAGGAAAGTACCACCTCACAAAAGACCGGCGCGCAGTGGAAGAGTTATAATTGCACGTTTCGTCTGGAGTGAGGTAACAGGAACCTAATTTTTGAATGGTAGCGAGGTGCGATTCTCGGGGGATCTTGTCCTCTTGCAAAAATTTCACATAAAAAAACCCTCCTTGGGAATACAAATTAAAACAGTACAAAAACAGTTACGCAATAATCATTTACGGGTGAACTACTTGTCCCGTGTGGGAATCGAACCCACGAACCGCTTAGTAACCGCGGAGTCGTCGCCTTAATGCGCCATTTAAATCTCGAGTTTAACACTCGGACGTAATGCGTCATTAAGTAACGAGTGGATGAAGCGATTTTTTCGTTACTATTCAGTTCTATATTCGTTTCACTGATGGTTTTATTACGAGCCGTATCGGATTTACGGCCGAAGCGATGTACGTCATATAAATGCGTAGATCGTTATAAAATAAGTAATGAAACAATTGACGGTAGCATGGGTCGACTCGAAGACCACTAGTTGACGTAGTTGCTAATATTGGCTTGGGAATAAGAGATCGTGGGTTCGATTCCGGAACGAGTATTTGTGTGAACCGCAGATAATTGGTTCGGATCTTGGTGTTTGTTTCCAAGGAAGAAATTATAAGAACGGCAAAAAAATCTTTTCTGTTGTATGGGAGCCCCAGTTGAATATTTTTCTTTGTGTTTTTAGTATTTGTTGTTATAGCAGCAACGGAAATTTTGTGAAAATCAAGTGAAAATTTCAAATGCTAGTGAGATACAGACAGACAGACAGACAGCAGAGTCTTAGTAATAGATCTCGTTTTACCCTTTGGGTACGGAACCCTAAAACATACAATAATAACCCCAAAAAAAGACAATAACTGTCGACCCGAATGGCGTAGTGGGGTTTGATCCCCATTACTGGAAAAATATTGTGTGATGAACATAGTGTTTTCTAGTGTCTTGGTGTGTATATATCATACAGATAAATAAAATTGGAATGTCTGTTTGTAATATTAAAATAATGAATTTTAATTTGGATGCCCCACCCCAACTAGCAGGCAGTTTATAAGCAGTTAATTTAAAAATGTAAACTTGAGTTAGCCGGTTCAAGTAATTTAAAATTTTATGACATTTAATAACCACGCATTTAATATTTACGGTTATTGTTTAAACGTTAATGCGAAAGTACACTTCTAAACCGGTCGACGAATTTAGAAAAACCGGCCAAGTGCGAGTCGGACTCGCGCACAAAGATTTCGTACCATTATCTATAAAAAATGGCAAAATATCTGTTGTGTGGAGCCTCTCTTAAATATTTCTTTATCCTGATTTTTAATATTTGTTGTTATAGCGGTAACAGTAATACGTCATCTGTGAAAATTTCGACTATCTAACTATCATGAGATACAGCCTGGTGACAGACGGACAGACAGTCAGACAGACAAACGGACAGCGGAGTCTTAGTAATAGGGTCCCGTTTTACCCTTTGGGTACGGAATCCTAAAAACCTACACAGCGCTTGAAATCTCTATGTACCAGTTTATGAGGAGACTCCGTAAGCGGATTACTTGGCGATTTAATTAATATATTAACAGATGCCTTGCTCTTTGCAGAGCGTAATCCTAACAGTTCCGTTAATTGTGTGATGTTAACTCCTATATATTGCTTTAATTCCCCCAAGTAACATTCCGTTTACGCTTACCGACAAACCCGATTACCATTTAGTTTTAAAATAAGTACTATGCAAGGTATAGGATTTACTTACTTAAAATAATTACAAAAATAATTACATTTTGCAATTTACTACTTACAGTATTAAATGCAAAATGTAATTTTTTTTTAAATGTAAGTGTTTGCCCCTATTATTTACTGAGTAACCATTAATTACGTAATGTTATATGTATTAAATAAATAAAAAAAAGGCATTAATTGTTACATACATATACAGCGTGTCGTTACCATCGCGAAAATAAATGAACACACATATAGGGGATAACTTTTTAAAGTTGTATTAAACGTTTAAATTCTTTAAACATCAATATCTACAGAGTTATTAAATTTTCCACGGGCTAAGGACAAGGACACACAACCACCCGCGCGCGTGCTCACACACACACACACACACACACACACACACACACACACACACACACACACACACACACACACACACACACACACACACACACACACACACACACACACACACACACACACACACACACACACACACACACACACACACACACACACACACACACACACACACACACACACACACACACACACACACACACACACACACACACACACACACACACACACACACACACACACACACACACACACACACACACACACACACACACACACACACACACACACACACACACACACACACACACACACACACACACACACACACACACACACACACACACACACACACACACACAGAGAGAGAGAGAGTTTATTATTTTTTTATTTATAAGTTGTCAAATTTAAGTCATACGTACAGAACAACGTCTGTCGGGTCCGCTAGTTCATTATAAAAGTCAAACAACACCTCTATCCGCTCGGTATAAAGGGCGTACTAAATATATCTGTATTATTCATCTCCACATGTCTTGTAATCACGGATGAAGCTATGCATGAACTTATTATAATGTTTCCTTCTTTGCATCTCATCATGGGGAGGGTATGCTTCTTAATGGATGATCCCAACGCCATCGCTGACTCTGTCACCGTATATGGTGTGAAGCACCATAGAACAGAGAACAGGAACACCCAAGGGCTGCAAATGCGTTGCCACTACCTCCTCACTCACCAGACGAAACGCAGAAGTGTAACACTTCTACTTCACGCCGGTCTTCTGTGAGTTCGTGGTACTTACCCGGTCGTCACCGCCTCCAGATGTAGCCGTCGGATGCATCCAGTGGCAGCGCATTCCATTATCCATCATATCACTGAGTATTTTCCATATACTCGTATAATCGACGAGCGCAAGCCCCTAAAAGTTCCAATATATAACAAGTTATAGAGAAAACTTGTTCCCTACCCGTTTTACAAATCCTGGTCTGCTTTGCAGAGGAGCTCAGCGGTATTTTCGTGAAGAGTATAAGCGAGGGCAGTTCTGCGGACCTTTGCGGGAAGATCCAAGTAAACGACAGGATTGTTGAGGTGAGTGTTAGAGATAAACGTCTTTTATTTATTTCAAATTTAATCAAAGCAAAGGCGTGCGAGCTAAGGTTAGTTAAGTTAATGAAGGTAAGTTAATCACTATTCAGTTAAAAACCGGCCAACTGCTCACTTGACCATGGCACGGTCTAATATGAGTAGTCGTCAAGGTTTTTTAAAACTAAACAAGTGCGACTCGGACTCGCGCACTAAGGGTTCCGTACCAGTATCTTAAAAACGACAAAAATTCGTGTCTGTTTTATGGGAGCACTACCTAAAAATATTTTTATTATTCTGCTTTTTAGTAATTGTTGCTTGCGGCAATAATATTGCAGAAATACATCATTTGTAAAAAAATTCTACTGTCTAACTATCACGGTTCATGAGATACAGCCTAGTGACAAACGTACAGACAGACAGAAGAACAGCGGAGTCTTAGTAATATATATATATGTAACCTTTTTACCCTTTGGATTCGGAACGAGAATAGCAGATATTCAGTTTTGAAACTATTTACAAAGCAGTGACTATTATGTACAAGATATAACAGCACGTAATAGTGACACGTATATATTATTAAAGTAACTGAAATATAACCACAACCAACGCATTTAGGTTTTGGTATATGAATAGTAATACTGGAAGAAAACGGCCGAAATCCCTTTATCCAAACTTTGAATACAATGTAAACAAGCAACTGTCTAACGGATAGGGAACGGAATACTTGATTGCTACAGCTTCTAAAATTATATGACTTCGAAATAGTTAGTCTATTTGGAAATCATATTATTTTAGACCTATGTTACCTAACTCTGCCGAAGATAGTTATTTTGGCTATATTATTTAATTTATTACAGATGATTTACTTATAGCAGATATATGTATTCGGAAGCCACCTGCTCAGCTACTGGCTTCGACACTAGGGGTTCGATTCCCACTCGGCACAAGTAATTATTTGGGGGTCACACAAATGTGGTTTTGGATGTTTTAATTTGTCTAAAGGAGAGTTGACGTCAGGCAGGCGGGCGGTCGTAAAATACTTAAAATAAAACAAATGAATGGGATATATGTACATAAAGGTCAAACATATAAGCCTCCTTTTTTGGCATTGGGTAAAAATAAAACTACTTCTGATGTTAATTTGGAAAAAGTAAGTGAAACGTCAACAGCACTAACTACCATTTTATAGTTAGAAGGAGGCAGAGTTTTTAATCGTAACTCGCTTCCAGGATATATTATTGTTATTGAATTGTTGTATTACAGTTTTAGGTTTAAACCACCAATGTCACAGGTTCTATGACAATTTTTAGGGTTCCGTACCCACAGAGTAAAACTTTATTACAGGGTAAAAATTTAAATGGGTTCCGTACCAACAATATCTATAAAAAAGGCAAATCTGTTGTATGGGGCCTCATTTAAATATTTTTTTATTCTATTTTTAGTATTTTTTCTTATAGCGGCAACAGAAATACATCATGTATGAAAATTTCATCTGTCTAACTATCACGGTTCATGAGATACAGCCTGGTGACATACGGACAGGAAGACAGACAGACAGACAGTCTTAGTAATATGGTCTCGTTTTACCCTTTGGGTACGGAACCCCAAAAAAGATTTAGCTAGCGAGCTAAAGGCTTGCCAAAACATGCAGTGTGCACGAAATGTTTGCACATCGTTACCCTTGATGCTAAGCGAAGCACTCTTGTATTGTTGAATTTGACTCGCAAGCCTCGCAGAATGTTTGCTCGGCTTTAGATGAGGAGGGGACGCCCCCCAGAGGGGGTGGTTTAATTTAAGTAGTGCAGTCCCAACTCCAGTGAGATTTCACGCAATGAATCAAGATATCTTTGTGAGTCGGTAAAAATAAGAAGAGGAAAGATAGTACAGATGTTTTTCGTTTTAACGCAAATAGAATAGAATAGAATTTATTGCATCGTCGTAAATTAGATTGTACACCACACAAGCTATAAAACATTTATTAGTTATATTGGACAGTTTAACTAGAATTTAATCAAACAGAATAACACGATAGAAACTATTATAGAATGTAGATAGATACTGATTATAAGAGTGCTTATCTGATTGTAAATTTAATTTGCTTTTGCTAAGATTTGTTGTTTCTGTGTTTCATTACCGATTGAAGTTGTATTTATCATTGATTTAGATATAAACGAAAGAAGTCGGAGCTAGTGTCAGCTATGTTTTAGTCAATCTGTAAGTCAGATACGATCCATGAGCTTTTTCGGTTTTCTCTTGTATAACATATTTTTCATCAAGCTTTATCGTAGTTTTGCCTTCATCTCATTTTCGTGTACTGACTTAATGGCAACCCTTTTGAAAATTTTTGCTTCATAAAGTACGTCAGCGGTTTTTGCGTTGAATGAATTGATTTTGAAGTACAGTTCACAAGTAGTAGACGATTTTATATTATTGTCCTGCGTCTGGTGAATGAGGTAACCTTAGGCACTCCCCTTAAAGGAAGGCAACATGTTATTTAAATTCAGATGAACCTCTGGCTCGTCTTTACTCACTAGTTAAAATACTTATTATTCGATAATTTTCATGCCGGCAACAATACAAAGACAACGACATACTTTCTCTTTTTATGTAATTAGTACAATCAAGGTATGTAAACATTTTAAATCTGAATCAATGATTCATTTACGGTTTCAATATTCTATCTACGGATAGATTTGGTTACTGGAGATAGATAGAGAATTTTGATGTACGTATGTATTATGGGGCTAATGTCAAATACATATCACTAGTAACCAAATCTATCTGTAGATAGAATATTGAAACCGGCCGTTAACCACCACATAATCGCAGTTCAACCGGGAGACTCGCAATAAATGCGCTAACGTCATACACGACGCCATCACTTAGCATTGGCTGGACAATTATTAATATTGATTCGACGCAGGGAGGCAATCGGGTTAACTCGTGACTGTGACTAATTGTCGACTCATTGCGTCACATATGACGTCACCGACCATGCTGTCTCCTGTCCAATGTATTGACAAGGTAGAAGTGCTGGTAATTAATTAGATTGTGGTAACGAATGCTGTGGTTGCTGTTAGACCTCTCTTACGGATTTGACGAAATTCCACGAAATTTTCTAGTGATTTCTCACGTATAAAATTGTTAAGTTTGGGTTCGGTGTACGGCAGTGTGTTGAATAATATGACCACTTAATTATATAAAGAAATAGAAGCTTTAAAAGCTTACCGTATCGTCTTTAATCAAAGTACAGCTATTTGAGTCACGTCATCGCTGTTTCCTTGATGGATGCATGATTCAACAGCGATGATGATAATTCACCAGTGGACGAACCGTTTGATTGGTTGCAACTTTGTTATAAAGAACGTGTTAATTTTTTATGGTTTAATTCTCAAGTCGCTGTCTAAGACGCTGTGACTTATTCTGACGAGATTATAAAAGCAATACAAATTGGAAAACGAAAAAAGTAAAGTATCAGCCTATTCATGTCCCACTGCTGGGCATAGGCCTCCTCTGTACAGAGGGTATTAGGGTCCACCACGCGGCCCCACTGCGGATTGACGGACTTCACATATCTTCGAAATATTATTATTTTTTAGTTGTTATTTCGAAAATATGCAGGTTTTTTTTATGTGAAATGTTGCCAAACAAGGAGACGGTTCACCTGATGGTAAGTGAATACCGCCGCCCATGGACATCTGCTACACCCGAGGGTTACAGATGCGTTGACAACCTTTTGAAAATTGGGCTCCGGCTACCCCACTCGCCAGACGAAACGCGAAAGTATTTGTTATACTTCCACTTTACGCTGGTCTTTTGTGAGATCGTGGTACTTACCCGGTGCTCATGTGAAATGAAACCTGGCATGTATTTGAAACAGTAATAACTTTTTTTTCGAAATATGCCTACGCCTGGACTGCTTAAATACCCTCTGTACAACCTGTGCACATTTGGACCTGTATAGGTTGTTACTTCACTTTAACTTTTGTATAATTTATGAACAAAATTTAGATAACACTGTAATTAACACTGAAATACTATGGAATTCAACAAAACTTCTTCCCGTATCTAAATTTGCGTATTAAAACACATTTGGTGTGCCAACAGATTTGGTGTCTGCTACTAATTCTGAAGGCGCCAAGTTGCTAATGTCTTGTGATAGTATGATTATTTATTTATTATTCTACTGTGATTTTGATTGAGCCTCATACGGTTATGTGGTTGGTAATATGGACTCATTTGCATCATGCTATCTTGTCGATTTAACAACCTTTTTATGCTGCATGACTAGTTCTAATTACAAACGTTGTTTCACCAATTCATCTCACAAACGGCGTGTTACTTAATATGAACGATACACAGAACAAAAGTCATAAAAACTTTTGCAATTTTCAATTCATTCGAGACACCGTCCATCGGTATTAACTTCGCTGCGAGAGTTATTAGCGGTTGAGGGATCTTTAATAGCACACTTTGAGTGGAACGTTCTCGAGTCGTCAAATGTGAATAGGCCTGCATCCGACAGTCTAAAGTGTATATGAATTATGTATTGGTGAATTTTATTAGCCATTGCTTAGATAAAAATGACGGATTTTTTTATGTGAAGAAGGTGGCAAACGAGCTGTCGGTCCACTTGATGTCAAATCATAACCGCCACCCATGTTTTTGCAACACCCGTGGGGTTGCAGATGCGTTGCCACCTTTTAATAAAGTAGGCCCCAGCTACCTCACCGGACGCAGAAGTATGAAACATCCACTTCACGCTGGTCTTCTGTGTGGTCGTGGTACTTACTTGGACAGACCTGCCCATTCGTGCAACGGCAAAGTCTGTTGCGTGATCCTACCACCGTCAAATTATGATATTAAACTGGAAGAGGTAGACAAATGACTAGCACCTACAACATTCAGTTGTCGCTGATCTTTGTAAGTATCAGACGATAAGCCTGTCATTTCGCAGCCGGTAACATGTCAGATTATATTTATGTATGGAAGACATCACGATT